GGGGCAGAGCATGGGATCCCAAGGCCATTTTATCAGTTTTCACAACAGCGCAGTGCTTTTGCAGGACAAATCCCTCTGCCTCTGCCAAATCTGACCAGCTGGGATCTGAGGGAGGAGGTGGGCAACCAGAAGGTGTTTCCCCACCACCCCTGTCCCCCCTCACCAACCCTTCCAGCACAGCAAAGATTTGGTATTTTATACTGTCACGGTATCATGCTGTGATACCATACCTAGTCCTCTCTTTGAGCCTGAGGTTGCACCAGCTTCCCATGTTGCTGCACAACTCTACTCTGATGTGATGGGAAGTAGCACAGAAGACCTGGGTTCCCTAGGGAAATTAAGCACCATCCTAGTTTGGGGTATTTCTTACCAACTGCTGTTGGTTATAGAGTCCTGAAAGTTTGTTTGTTCTGTGAATCCAGTTCCTAGGAGGTTTCTTTTGTTTGCACATAGGCTCAGCCAAAATGCTGTGCATTGCTCTGCGTGGCAAAATAGCCAAGACTTAAATGTATAATTTCTGAGTGTTTTAGTGACTTGTTCTTCCTTGTAAATTTTACCCTCTTATCACTGACAGTCAGTGAAGCTGCACCGTTAACTCAGTAGCAAGAGGTTTGTGTTTTTGGAGCTAAGTATCCCCATGCAACTTGTATGTGGCTTGGCTGGTGAAAACAAAGCTGTTATCTGCAACAGCTCTTCTAGATTATAGGTCCCTTCTCCATTGTTTCTGCTGAAATGTCATCTGGAGTTTCTGTACAGATGCTCAGGGTAGAATCCTGTCCCCAGCTGCTCATCAGTCCAACATGTTGTTCTTGTAGAGCCGAACAAAGACACGGTAGCTTGTGCTGTATATCTTGGTGCAAAACCTCACTGGATAAAGTTTCAGACTGGAGATGTGTGCAATTTTTTATGCTACTGGCATAAAAATAGAACTTTTTTGCATATGGTTCCATTAAGTGAGTGCAGTGTTGAAATTTTGCTCTCCTTGTGATGTAAGTAGGTGAAATTGGGAAAGGCTGAGGCTGGACAACCCCCAAATGATTAACTCTTCATAGGTGGTGACGTTCCCTGGCATTGTTACTGCTGAATTTGGAACCAACATGGTGTAGGGTAGCGGTGTTAAACTCTTTGGGACTCTGCTCTCAGGCTGTATTGCTTGCTGACATGTTTTAGGCCTTGGCACTTTCCATCAACAGAGACACTGAAGTTCTTGCTCAGGGAATGGCATTCTGCCAAACTAAAATGCCTACCCTGTGCTCTGAAAGCCATGTTGCTTTTCACTTTTCATTTTGTGAAACTTCTGTTGCACTGGTCCCACAGAGCTGCTGTAGCCTTATGCCTCTTGAATCCACCCTGCTGCATAGGTGAACCACAGAGAAAATTCACCTGTGTGCACAAAGCCAGCACAAAATGAAGGGCACTGGTCAGCTCACACTTGGAACTGAAAAATCCCTCTTTGAACATTGCATATGTTTCATGCTGAACTCTCTACAAAGGTGATTTTCACAGAGAATGTTATGCACAGTGTAAAATTGTCTTCGGCTATTAAAAGCTTAAAGGAGTTACACCATGTAGTTAAAAGCAGAATTTGGGATAAAAGGTGCTTGAGAAATGTAAGTTATGATAATAGTGAAAAATTTCCTGTCTGTCTGTGTTGTGGAGTGGTGCTGGGAGTCACACACATGCAGAGAGGGAAAGAATGGGCTCCTGGTAGGGGAGTTTTCATGAGCCCAGGACTGTCCCATGTGGAGCGGGGATTCTCAAGTTACACATGGAGGGAGGAACAGGATCAGAGAAACAGAACTGGTTTGAAGTTCAGGTGCTGAAAAATGGTAGGCTGGAGTTCAAAGACAGGATTATTGGCTAGTGTTGCTTTAGGAGTTGGTGGGGGAAGAGCTTAAGGCCAGAGCATTACTGCGTTGCTGATTTATCAACACAGCCAACACTGTGGATGGTGTTTGAGCCACTTCTAAATCCAGCCGCTGGCAATGAAAGGCATATTTAATCCATGTGTTAGATTGTTTGAAGAGGTATCTCTCTCCTGGTCTCTCCCTGAGGCTGGGATTTCTGAAATTGGAAAGAAAGTGAGAGGGAAGATTTTAACTGTTTCACAAAATCTTGTCCTTCGGAGGGACCCACATTCCAATAGCACCTTTAACATTAGGGTTATTGAAAAATTAAAGTTTTTCTACTCTCTTGTCCCTGTAAGGAGACCCCCCACTACTTCTTCTGTATCTAAAGGACAGAATCAAAGACAGGATTTGTATTTGAATCATTTGTATTTAAATTGTTTTTAAGTGTGTTCTTTTCCTCAGCCTGGGATTAATGGTCTGCATTTAGGAGTTCCAGGATCCACTTGCACTGTTGGCTCTGATCTCTCTGCAGCAGGCCACCACTGCAAGATAAAACACTGAAAAACAACCCTTACTAAAGTAACTCTCCTTTAGTCTTTTCCTTAAATTGTCTTCCATGAAAGAGTATAATTGTTTAAACAGTTCCCTTAAGGGTTAATTCCCCTCCAATTTAATACCCCTATGCTCTGTTAGCACACAACAGGGCTGACACTGCCTGTGGAGTTACAGACTGAAGCTCCAAAAATATCTATGCAAGAATAGAGGACAGATCTCAAATCAGGCCTGAGCTGCACTTGCAGAGCAATACCAATGTCTTGGAATAAGAATAAGACAGAGGGTGACCCTAACCTGCAAAAGGTATCAAAAGTAAGAATTAAAGAGTGTTAGTAGGTCAACAATGAGAATAGCGGGTGAAAATGTTTGGAATAGGTGGAAAGCTGAAGCCTGAGAATAAAGCACCAATGTGCTTTAGGGTGTTAGGATTCAGCACTGATTTGTGTTGAAAGCCTAAGGCAGCAGGTTGGAATAGCAGGTGTAGGGTGGATCTCAGCTGAGCTCCATACTCAGACCTACATGGGGGGCTCTGGCACTGAAGAAACCCCAATTACTCTAGAACAGATCCATGCTGAATAAGCAGAACTCTCTATGGACTGCCCAAAATTTGCCTTGGTACTTCATAGCTCTCATCAGTCACATGGATATAAATTCACCTATAAGCAGCAAAAAAGAGAATACTAACAGAATCCACTAGGAAGTATATAAACAGGTTTTTTTTCCCTACATAGAAGTGGTTGTAACAAATATCAGAACTAATGTCCAGTGATGTTATGGCCCCTCTTGTGAATCACTTTATTCAGGGATCTTTAGTCAATTGCAAAGGGACTCTGCAAGCAGGAAATAGACAATTTAGCCAATAAATAACTGCTTTATACAGTTAACACACACAGAACCTAGTTAAGACTTAATGAAATTTTAGGCTACATGCTAGCATACTCCTCACCTGTGTAAAGGCACCCAAAGATTCTTTCAGGTATCAATCAGAAATGAATAGTCACCCTCCATGGTTACCATCTGCCACCAGCTAGGTCAGGACTGATGGCACTGACAACTCAACTCAGTGACCCAAATGATTCATGACAGGTACTCAGCTAGACTGACTATCACAACTAAACTATGGTTTTGTATTTCCTCTGAGATTTTATATCTTCCCATGTTGGTGGTTTTCCTCTGGAATCCCTGGGCTAATGCTGGTGCAGTCCTAGAGCTTTTGCCCTGCAGGCTTTCTGCCAGCTCATTCTCAGCAGTTTAAGTTGAGCTGTATCAGAGCTGGGCCCTTGATTCTGCTCACACAGATAGTTAAATCCCTGGGCTGTGTGTCAGAGGAGGAACATTACAGCATGTACTTTAGAGAAAGAGGGCTACTGCACCTCTTGATTTTAAAGTGGAAAAATTCTGGAGATTGTTCAGTATCAACACTTTATGTTGTGGGGATCTTGTGTCAGTTCTAATTGATAAGAAATATCTAATCCTAATTAGGGTTGCTCATTTGCTTGTACAGTCTGTTTCTAGAGCTTTCTGGTTAAGAATGTTTTGGATCAGACAAGCTGACACTTCCTCTGAAGCCATAAAAATTGGGTGTTTTTGTGAGAAGTGAGATTAGGCAGTGGTACCTGTGGCTTCAGGATCTTTGTTCCCAGACAAACCTATCTCAGAAATCATAAAAATTACTTCTATATTGGAGTTGTCTGATGGTATTCAGAAGCTCTGCTGCAAGTGCATCTGCCAGCAGTGCACTTGCTTAAGGTGGTACTGCCTGGCTTTTTCTTGGCTTGTCACTGGCATCCTCACCACTGGGCTGGGGGGTACATGACCCAGCCATGGGAAATTGGTAACCCTTGATTATAAAAATGGTCTTGCTGGGGTACATCCGAGTTATGTGAGCAGGAAGTGGTGAAGGAGCAAAGCCCATCTTGCCACTTCCCCTGCCACATTGCTCTGGTGCTGAAAAGCAGGCTTTGGTTTGCAGGCTGTCTGATACATTTCAGGCTCCTGGGTTACCAACACTGAGGTAGGCTAACTCTCTACATGCTTCAAAATTGGGAATACAGCCTTTCTGCAAACAGTGTTTTCCTACCTGAAAGTTGTGGTCACCCATGTTAAGCCATCACAAAGAAAATACTCTTTCAACTTTACGTATTGTGGCCCGTGTCCAAGAAAAAAATATATATTTATTGCAGCCCTGCTTGTTTTGTCTGCAATTTGAGTCACTCTTGAGGCAAAGAGTAAATCACTGCAGAGGGCAAATACATTTTTCCGTTGCAGAACAGAGTCACTTGCTTTATTGGGAACTGTGACAAAGTTGGTCTATACATGTTTTTCCCATGAGATTGCTCTAGAGAAAGAAATCAGTTGGAATAAGCACACGCTATTGGTTATTTGTACTTCTGACTGCAGCTAATTATAGCCTCAGCCATGCCCTCTCTTCTACCTGCTAATGTCTTCCCATGTCTGGTAACTAATGGCTGCCTGTGGGTGCTGCGTGCTGCTCCACATACAAATCACAGCACTGCCTGTCAGCTTTCCAAGGCTTGACTCTGCAATCCCAGTAGCTGATAGATGCTGACAAGTATCTGACGTTGCCTCTTCCAGCTTTGCTCTGCCCCCAAGACGCAATATGGAAGCCATTGCCAAGTTTGATTTCACGGCTTCTGGAGAAGACGAGTTGAGCTTCCAGGCTGGGGATGTGTTGAAGGTAAGTACGGTCCCCAGCTTGAAACAGGTTTTTGAGACTGCTTCCACATCTTTCTTGTGCTTCCATTTGCCTTGACAAAACAGATGAAGACACATCTATAAACTAGGATACAAACTCAGGATACCCCTCTCCCACAGGGTTTGCAAGAGGACAACAATTCCCAGCTTACTTGAGTCTGTGTCCACTTTTCTTGATTTTATGTCCATGAACTGTGGATTTAGTTGCCCTGCAGTCCTCTGGTAGTCAGCAGGGAAGGGTATGTATCTTTGCTGGGGTACAGATTAAGATCTTTGGTGACAGGTTTTGAGGGTCCTGTCTGTTTTCATTGACCAGGTAAACTATCCACAGTGACTACATTATGATGACCATGTCTAAACTTGCAGGACCAGTTCTATCCAGAGGGATTGCTGTCTTCCTTATTTCCAGCCCTTGAACTGTTTAAAAGATAACTCTTATCCATTCTAGAATTTATATCTAACTTTTCACTGTTATTAATTACTGTTAGATGCTGCAGAGATCTTAGGCAATTGCAAATAGGAGAGGAAAATTCCATGAGACAGACTGTTACACACATAGTGGAATAGTTTAAGAGGTTCTGGTCTAATAATGTTATATACACCCTTGCAGAAATTTAACAATGAGGCAATAGCAGAAGTAGAGCTGATCATACACAATACAGAGCTTCTGGAAGTCTCTTTAAAGTGCTTTGTATGTGTTATGATAGAACAGTTCTTGTTAATGTTACCAAAGTCCCACAGATGAAGCCACTTGAAGATTCACCCTAATTATTTATCCACTTCTCAGTCCCAGATGTTCTGTTTCCATTGAAAATGCCTGAGTATTACCCCTCCCTGAGGTCTTAACTCCTTTACTGTCCAAAGGGATGATGTACAACAATAGGATGTATGGTCCTGTTGGTGAGGAGCCTTTGCTACCCCTCTGTGCAGTCACAGATATTCCAGCTAATAATCAGATATTGGGTCTCAGTCTTGCCTTTTCCATTGCCACCACTTCTTATTTTATTGGCCTTTCAATTCTTGGCACTTAGACAAAGTTGATAGCATCTGGAGTTCACTAGTACCAAATCTTTCCAAAGAGCTGTGAGAAGGTTCTGGAGAAATCACTGTCTCTCTTCAGCACAGATAAACACTCTTATTCTTCCCCAGTTGGTCCCTATTCTCATATTATCACATGACCTTTACTGATGCCTTTTTTCTCAGGAGACTTCCATCAAGTCCCTGTCTGGGGTGATGGTGTAAGCCAGGTCACTTTTCTTTCTGTTCCTCAGTTTCCCTTCCTGTAAAATCATTATAAGATAGAGCTTCCTTTCAAAGTATGCTATCAGAAGATAAAAAGTGTCAACACTACACACCAGTTTTATTATTATTAGTTGTCACAGAGAATTCACTACTGGAAAAATCAAACTGCCTCTTGCTTTAATGTCCTTGAGGTAAACAAAACAACATCTTAGCCACCCAAGCCGTAGTAGCAGTAAATCAGCCTGAGTAACAGCTCTGTTCTGGCATAGGCACACACACATTCCTACCCCATCATGAGCCCCCTCATGCTGCCTGCAACAACCTGCTGATTTATCAAGGAGATAAGATGAAATATTGATGTAGAGATTACAAAACAGGAAACATGAGGCCCTCAACCAGTAGCGACAAGAGGAAATCCACCCTCTTAGCCCCCCCTACATCCTTCTCTGAGAGGATGATACACTGAGAGAAACCTGCCAGCTCTGCAGTGGAAAACAGCTGGCGGGTCGTTCTGGAAACCTCACTTCCAACAGAGTAGGCCCCAAGCATGAGCAGGCAGTAGCAATCATCCCCTGTGTTTGGCCACAGCAGTGGCAAAAGATCCTTAACCCAGCACCCAGGCATGAGACAGCAGTGACTATACAAGTAGGGAATACCACAGCTTTCTATTCCTTAGCTTTTCTGAATCCAAATGTTTGAAAAAAGGCCTACATGGCAGGGAAGGCATTGAAGAATTGGCTCCAGAGACAGTAACATCCTGTTTCAAATACAAAGCAGCTAAAATGTGCCTTAGGTTCCCAAAACCATGAGATTGGCTCACAAAATATGTATTATTACTGTTAACAATAGATTTTAAATTCTTTTCCACTGGCTTTTTCCTTTTAAATCTGTCACAGCTCATGCTTTTAGGCTCCTCTCCAAAGCTAGAAAGAGCAGAAACATGGTCTATTTCATACAGCAGAATCCTGGAGCTGGAATGCCAAACCAAACACCAAAGACCACACTTGCAGTAAAATCCCAATGTGGTTGTATTTCTGTCCTCTCTCCTCTAGCTTAGGGCTGTTTCTTGGACCATCAGCCATGGTGTCATGAATTTGGGTCCTTTCTGGTCAGCAGTGATGTTTCTAAGGACCATTGCAGTTAACATTAATGTGAGCACATTTGAAGCTGCTCCGGTGTGTGATGTGGACTCACTTCCAGCTATCCTACAACCTCCTAAGTCTAATAGTGTCTCAGAGACACTTTTTGCCTCCTTCTTATATCTACCTTGGCAAAACTCAGGGCAGCAGAAGACTTAACCCACTAAAGAATCTCTTGTGAAATGACAGGTGAGAGCACATGGTAACATCTGTGCGGCCATAGCACACACAGCTACAGCTGCATATCCCTCCATATCCATATGTCAGAGGAGTTTTCACAGATATTTTCTTCTTCCCTTGTGAATCTGAGGTGCTCCAGTACCAACTACAAAAGGCAGCACAGAGAGTAACTTAAACCCCTACTAAGTCTTTGAAAGCTGAATTTCTCCATTTCACAGGCATCAGAGATACACAGACAGGCAGTCAGACAAAGGGGTAAAGTTAACAAGCAATCTCCCTAATTCTACTCAGGCTTTTTTATTGCTTGCTTGTTCTGAAGTGGTCATCAGACACTAACCTTCGTGCACCATGGGTGGGGAGTAGAGAATGTGTAGCATTTTCTTTTATGTTTACAAGACATTCTAGGTTTATTCCTGAATCTTGGTCACTTTTGCCTTTCTTAGAAGACGCATTTTTTCCATCCATTTCTCCATTGCAGATTTTGAGTTCCCAGGAAGAGTGGTACAAGGCTGAGCTCAGAAGTCACGAGGGCTACGTTCCTAAGAACTTCATTGATTTCCATGTTCCCCCGTAAGTGTGACAGAAATGGTGTCACCACCATGGCACATTTCCACCGAGTGCGGTCAGGACCACATTTGCGTGTGCGTGCAGAGGAGAGTACAGGGGAAGTGCTGGGCATAACATCCTACATTTTGGGGCTGGCAGGGATTGCCATAATGCTACACACGGTTCTGCCAGCACAGCATGTTTCTACCCCGAAACATCCTCTGCTCTTTCGCAGCTAAATGGATCTCGATGATCGCTGTCAGTCCTAAATGACTCTTTTGTTACTGCTGCGCAGAGGAATGCTGGGATGTGGCAGGAATTGCATTTAGATGCCCTCCGAGGAGAATAGTCCTGATGTGAAATCTTGGTAACAGAGTCTAAGCACAAAAGGAAGAGCAAGAGATCTTTCTGAAAACGGATTTTAAAAAAAAATTTCCTCCTCTTCGACTCTTAACGACGCTGATCCCTTTTCCCACCCTGCCGCCGCATTGGCATCCCCCGAAGTGCCTGTGACTTGCTGCGGGTGCGCTAGAGGTCAGTGCAATGCTGCGCCGCACTGACAGCTGCTGCGGAGCTGATAGACCAGACACGCTCTCACACAAACAGATCTGTCGGAGGACAGGTGTACCTGCATTTCTCCCTTCCCGCTGAGGAGATGGATCTGCACTTTCAGAAAGGACTGATGCGTGTTGGAATGCATGTTAAATGTGCTCTCCAGCCCTATGCCATAAATATGACAGCGCATGGGATTTTTACAACCTTTCAGGTTTCAGCAGAAATGCTCCCAGAAGCACCTCTCATTGTCCTTCCTCTTTCAAAAGCGCTGCAGCATTTCAGGGGTGAACGAGCAGAGCATGCACCAAGCCTAGTACTTGTGGCTGCAACACACCGGTGCTCTGAGCAGTCATACTGGAAGCACACAGGGATTTTGAGGTTACAAATAAGTGCCTCTGTCCCCTTTGGAGGTGGCACTTACTGGCCTTTTTGGGCATAAGCCAACCTGCTTGGCTGAGCTGAAGGACATTATTCATTTGCTGTGCAAATACGGGCTTGTACTTTTGGGCCTCGGGGAGATGAGATCTTCCAGTCAGTTGTTCTTGTTTGCTCTTTCACAGGGCTGTGCCATTGCTCAGGAGCACTGGCAGCTTCTTTTTTCACACACATTTTTCCCATGTTGCTTTCTCTGTGCAAGAGCTGCGAAGAAATATTTCCACTCTGACACTTTTCTAAGTGGTAGGTCTGCACTTTGAAGCAGTTCAGCCTAGATGACAGAACTAGACGTGGGGAAGAAAGCTGCCTCCTATTTTTGATGGATTTTTTTTGCCCACCTTTTTCTCGTTAAGTAATCATTAAGATTGGTTATCAAGACTTGTCGCACTATGACATTAAATAACTCACACATTCACGCTAGATGCAAAAGAGGGAAAAGAGAGGAAGTTTATTCTTGACCTTGTAATATATAGAATTTTAAAAGTGACAGTGGATTGGAGGATGAAATTGCTACTTGTCTGACTACACTGGTTAAACTAACAGTCTATCAATTCTCTCTTCCCACAAGGAAGAATGTAAAACAATCATTATTTACATAACAGTGTGCAAGAAACTCTAGTAGAAATACGTAAACATCAGAAGGCATAGAAAACTTTTAAAAGAACTTTAAAATTTTTGAAAGGCTCATCTGATTTTTCTTTGCTAATGATACACAGGTAAACTGTGATGATAATAAGGAAATCCAAAGCAGAAATTACAGACATTAGGAACTTAACAGTCCTTAATTTTAATGCAATACAGGCAATTACATATTAGGTGAAGTCAAAGACTGCAGATTGTAGATCTTATTAGCTATGGAGTGGGCATATGCAAATGTATGTGATTTTGTGTTTGTCTACTGAAAAATTCCTACTGACATCATATTATTTTACTGTTTATGGTGACTTTCTTATTATTAGTCCAGTGCCTTATGCTGTTGTTTGTTATGCCTGGCTAGATTTGTGTAAGTGTGCTTACGTATTCTGTGCTTCTGGTGATTTTGTGATATTGCAACTCTTGCAGGAATGAATTTATTAGTAGTAAAACTTTCATGGCTTGCTTCTACTAAAAATTTATGTGTGTTCCATGCAATATATCCATCACAGCCCAGTAATTTTCCATCAGTTTGCTAAAAAGCAATTTGATGTATATGTCTTGAGAATTATGTGTGTATATATGTATACATACACATTTGTCATTTAAAATTTCTTTGACTAACACCTTATTGTACTGCATCCGTAATTACAGTTTCACCTGAGTTTTGCTTCTTAGCAGACCAGAGCTTACATTGTTCTTTTTGCATGTACGTGTTTTTACTACTCAAAGAAAATGGTCTGCATCCATGAAACCTCTGTACCTCAGCATATACGTGGCCACTGGGAGTAGCCATGTGGGCTCCTCTGATCCTTTTGTTTTCTTCCCTCCACCCTGCTTATTCACATTCTCCCTACCCTCAACTTTTTTATTCCTTACCTTAATTCACATCCTTATTCACATCTCCATGATTTTTCCCACTTGACAGCTGGTTTGATGAGAAAATATCCCGCCACGAAGCAGAGAACCTCCTCATGAGCAAAGGAGTTGGCTGCTTCATTGTCCGAGCCAGTCAGAACTCTCATGGTGACTTCTCCATCTCTGTCAGGTATCTGCTTCTAACAGCATATTTCTGCTTCTTTTCCTGTTTAATGGTGTCCCTAGCCTCCTCTCATAAGAATTCCTAATGTGATGTAGGCTCTTGTGAAGTTTGCATGCTGCCAGTCACTGCTAGTGCTGCAGTCTTGTGAATGAAAGCAAATTAGGCATCTGATTCCCAAATGTTTCTGACTCTTTTCAAGTGACACAGTGAATGCCCCATTCCAAAGCTGCATCCCCTGGTGACCTCCTTCTCTGAAAGAGCTACAGCAAAACAGAATGGTACAGAGAAAGTCTCCCACTGTGCTTAACAAGTGTCTTCCATTTGTTTAAATTCCCTGACAGCTCTGGTTACCAAATCCAAGAATTCAGCTACTACCTATGAAGAGATTACTATTACATTGTTAAACTTATTTCCCACAGGTCACTAAAAAGCCATTGGACAAGGACTGGTTTTTCATTGCTTTCAAACCAGCTGCATTTCAGCAGCTTGCTGTAGCCCAGCACTTCTCAGTGCTTCTAAGCAGAGCTCTTAAATGATGTTTGGTTTCCCAATTTTCAGTCAAATAGTTGATAACCAGTTTTAAATTAGGGTCATGATTAACAAAGTCTTTTCCAAGTGGTCTGTACTTGCTGATTCAGGCAGCTCAAAAAGTATCTGGGAGGAACTGCAAGCAAATATTCTGGTTACATTTGCACCAATTAACGCCAACAAATCAAGTAGAGTCAGGCACTTTTTCTGGCCCAGAAGTCAAGCAGTGAGGCAGAGGTCAGATCTGTATGGCTACACCCTCTTCACCCCACCAAACAGAAGAGCTGTATTCAAACAGCTCCCTGTGAACAGTTCCTGGCCTGTTCTTTATAACCATGGCCCAGCACTTTCTAAGGGAGAGTTTTTCCATTTAAACCACAACCATGCAAACACTTCAACAGTTTGGGGCTGTAGCAGTCAAGGATAGCATGCAGCTCCTGCTTGTCCCCATTTAGTTTATTTGTGCAGATGTAGCCCCTGAGAAGAGTGTTTTGAGTGCCTGGAGTTGCACAGAGCAAGGAGGTGGGTACCAGAGCCAGCTCACATCTGGTGCAAAGAGGAATTGTACACATCAGACAAGACATGAGAGGAGGGGAGGTGCAGAAGGAGTAAGGGGCAGAAGGTTGAGATTGTTAATTTGGTTTCTAACAGCATCAGAAAATTCCTTTCTTTTTTTCTTTTTGGTTAGGAAGAATGACCTGTAGTAATTATGTTACACTAGATTTTATACCATCTTAAAGTTTAGTGTATGGCTTCACATGACTGTGCCTGTATATAGTGGTGATCCCCATGGTGTATAAAAGTGTAATACAGGTCTTACAGGCAATGCAGACTGGATGTAACAGACCTGCAGAGGCTGTTGGGTAGACTACAATTGCACTTTTTCACCCTGGAAGCTCCTGTGACCTTTATCTCAAAAGAGAGGGTTTAAAACCCTGTGCTTTGTTCTGATAGTGCTTTGTGACTGGGCAGCCCTGGGGTACTCTGTGTTTGCAAATCCATGAGTCTTGAAACAGAGCCACATCTGGGTCCAGTACACACAAGGACTACCATTGCATGACTTTCCAGAAGGCTACATTTGGCCAAGCAAGAAGTTTTGGTACCCTTCTGGAAAAGACTTTTACAAAAAAGGTAAAAGTGTGATCTGTTGATGATCTCTTTTCCATTGGGATCCAGGCATGAAGATGATGTACAACACTTCAAAGTGATGAGGGATTCAAAGGGTAGCTATTACCTGTGGACAGAGAAATTCCACTCGCTAAACAAACTGGTGGACTACTACAGGACGACTTCCATCTCCAGGCAGAAGCAGATCTTCCTAAGGGACAACAGCCAAGAAGGAAAGGTAAACACAAACTGTCCTTAGGAGTTTCTCAGTCAGAAACCTTTCTGTGGGAGGAATTCATCCCATGAGAATGTCTCAGGATGAGGAGGAGGACAGTCTGTCCCTGGAAATCCAGCCTCATAACTACACTGGTGGGGCCTGAGACACAGATTCTTAGTGGATTCAGTGGTATGTGGAGTTGTATAATTGAGCAGAATTTTTTGATTCTTCAAATCTGAATAGAGATGCTTTGCTAAAGCTGTGCTAAGACCTCAGAGCTGAAATTCTAAGATGCCAAGGGAAGCAGGATTTACCTTACTGAAATGCCTAGATTTCCTGAGGACAGGTAAAGAGCTGACTGGTGGGTTGTGTCTCAGAAGAATTTGAGTCTGGTTTCTTAGTGTCCTTGCACGCACCCAGAGTACAACTACAACTGCAAGTTTGTCTGCTCAGAAGAATTGTCCATCTTCTGCTGCTGAGCAACCACAGTAAAAAGGATGTGGAGGAACAGAGGGCAGAACGTGGAGAAGGTAACCTGGATGTTAGGAACTGGAAAGTACTACTGAGAAGAACATAGCAGATCTGGGAACAAGATGTGCCTTCAGGGAAGGTATAGTCCATGTTTGAGAAGGCAGACAAATCCCAGTCCAATGAATGCCTGGTTTTGTGCCAGGGGAACAAGTAAATGACATAGCAGAGGCTGTTACACATTGCACTCCCTGTACTGGGAGTGAACATGCCTGGTCACTGCAGCAACCAAAGTCCTGCTTCACTGGGAAACGGACTCTGGTATTAAATTTCCAGGATGTGCAAGTAGAGACAAGGCAGAAAGTTTGTGACCTGCTGACTACAGCAGTAAAGTTTTATAAGCTGCATGTGGGTCATTCTTGCTGGCTCAAAATGAGAGATGATACATTTTTCAGTCTGAAGAATGGGCCTGGGCTGTTGTCTCTTTCTAGACCACTTACACAGACCTTTAAAAACACACTATCAAGGTATTAAAATAGAGGCTCTGGGATCTGTAAGAGAGAGATTACAGTGATGAATCTCTGTGTCTGGGGAAGGAAAGAAAGACTGTATGTATGTATATCAGTATAACTACCTGTTTGGGCTGACTGTGAGCAGGAAGGGAAAAAGATGCATTTGCTCCAAGATGCAGACAGGCAAATGAAAGAACAGAACTCAAGTTTGCTTTGGCAAACTCTCTGTACGTTTATTATGGTGATGGGCACAGCAAAGTATGTTTAGCATTCACCACAGTGGGTTTCTGTTCACTATTCAAATTTTTATATGCTACAGCCATATGATAAAATGATTGATTTCAATGCAGAGACAAATTAATTCTAAGGGCAGTATTTCAAGAATGAGCTTACCTTCTGTGCTGATCCTCACATCAGTAGCCATATTTTCAGCCCCACACCTCCCAGTACTACCCTGACTTCAGGTGGAGAGTGGCTATGACAAAGATCTAAAATATAGTATTTCTGATTTGTTCTTCTGTGCAGAGAGGTAGGGTCTTTTATTTGAAAGAGCCTCCAGAGTAGTGGGTAGTGGTAGTGCTCAGTGTGCAATGATTGCCCAGCTTTAGTCAAGGATGTGCTAGGAAGCAAAACCTGACCTCCCTTTTGTGATCTTTCTTCCATCAGGAGAGGCATGGCGGGAGCCTGGAACAGATAGGTCGGGAAGGATTCCATGTGGGAGGAGCAGCTGGAGAAGATCATTCTTCTATATCCAAGAGATATGTAGAGCATCCTATTCCCATACTGCAGCAGCAGCAGGTACTACCAGAAACAAGAGGCTGGGACATCAAGACCAGACATACGAAATATTGGCTTTTATTGCTTGGTAGCAAGCAAACAGTCATTTTGTCAAAAATCTACATCTCTCAGCTGTGCACACAAAAGAGAACTTGTTTCCTAAATGTTTCCTATGTCTTCTCTCCATCTGCCTGGGCCAATTTGTGTTAATATGACTTAGATGTTTGTCTCATTTTATTTTTGGCTAGTTTGGCTACTAGATTTATAGGTCTGCTTGCTGTCCTTTACAATATGGAGCAGCCCAAGACAAGGCAAAGTAGTGAGTCCTCAGATAGAGTCAGCTGCACCAGCACAACTGATGTTCCCCCAGCATATGGGACAGAGGAAGAGCAAGGAGTGGGCAGGACTGGGTCATAATAACTCCAGATTGGCTGAAGTCTCCTTGGCAAGCATGGCTTTTATCTGTGAGTTAGAACAACCTTAGTTTTTCTTCAGAGACCAAAAAAAAGCCCCTTGCTGACCATTTGTTCCAGCAGCTGTGAAACACAGCTGAGTACAGTCAACTTTCAGCTCCTAAGAAGTAAAATCCAAAATAGAACAGTCTAAGCTGACCTCTTCCACGAGGGTCATTACTTGCAGAACTGGAGCACAGGGACTTTATTGGAAGCAGACATCTAAAATTATTAAAGTGGGGGCCTGCCCCTGACTCCTTGCCCACTAACAATTCTTAAATCCCCTCATTTACACATCTCAGAATATATATATGTGTCATGGTTTAATCTCAGCTGGCAACTAAGTACCATGCAGCCACTCACTCACTCCTTCTCCCATTGGTGGGAGTAGGGAAAGAATCAGGAAAAAGATAAAACTCGTGGGTTGAGATAAAAAAAAATTAATAATTGAAATAGAGTAAATACTATCAGTAATAATAATAATAATAATAATAATAACAACAATAATAATTGTTGTTGTTGTTATTATAATTTTCTATTTATTTAAAAGAAAATTACAAAAAGAGAGAGAGAGGAATAAAACTCAAGAAAAAGAAGTGATGCACAAAACAATTGCTCATCACCCACTGGCTGATGCCAGTCCTTGACCAGTTATTGTCCTCTTCTGGCCAGCTCCTCCCTGTTCATATACTGAGTATGATGTTCTAGAGTATGGAATATCCCTTTGTCCAGACACTGAAAAGTCCTTGATTTAGAGTGAGGCACTACTTAGCAACAACTGGAACATTAGTGTATTATTAGCAGTATTCACATACTAAATCCAAAACACAGCTACTGCAAAGAAAATTAACTCTATTCCAGCCAAAACCACAACAACATGACTTTTGTGCTGCTGTTTTCTTTCTAGGAAAGATATGGTGGGAGTCTGGACAGGAAAGACATGATGCATAGACTAAGGGATCATGGCCAAGGAAGTGCAGGAGCTATGCAACGGAGACACACAGACCCACTGCACCAGCAGACACAGGTAGGTGATGCAGCTGGAGGGCCTCATCTGCCCAAGTCAGTGGGTCTCTTAGCAGTGGCCAAGCAGTCTGGACAGTTCCACCTGCATGGAGGTTGCATGAGAAGTAGTGTATTTTGCCTGCCAGGCCATGTCTTACGAGACATTTCTGAGTCTCATGACTCTATCCCAGCCACTTGAATCTGCTTCTGGGACACTCTGAGGGTAGGACTATGGTGTTATGTGAGCATAGTCCTGGTAACTGCTCTCAAGGTCAGTCTTATGCAGCCTCAGTGAAAGAGGGAACTTAGCATGAGCACAGCAAAATAGGGGCAATTCTCCATAGGATGCTGGAGTGAGCAAAAACTCACCCATGAATTTTGATCAAGCACAAGACTAGTCCAGCAGAAGACATTTCTGAAAGCCTAATGATCTCTTCTAGTAAAATTTCATGTCCATTAATGCACAGAGCTTTCAATTATCTTTGCCACCGCAGCCAGACAGTGACTGATGTCAGTAGCTAAATGTGCAGTACATTTTTTAGGTTCTATGGAGAGCAGCCTCATGATACTGTACCATGCTACAGTGCTCTTTCTGTCTTGCAACGCACTTGTAGTCACACTGTCTCTTCCATTAATTTTTGCTGCAGTCCTGAGAAGGCCTGAGATCACCCAGCTCTACTTGTCTGTGCCTAGCACATCTCTCAGACCTCCTTTGCTGTCACCTACCTGACACCCTTGGCTGTCAGAACCTCTTAGCACAGTGGATGTGGGTGTGATCCAGATGTGTCTGCAGACACCCCAGACCTTCAGTCTCTACCTGCTCTGCCAAGTCCCGCTTTGTGAATGTCCACACAGAATGTGATGTCTTTCCCTGCCTCAGCCTGTGGTTCCACTGCCAGCTACAAAGTATTTCCCTATGAGTTCAGTGTGACCTAAGGCATGCTCCTCTTCCTTGAAGAAATGTCCAGCTTAGCCCATAACCAGAGAACCCAGATCCAAGGAAAGAAGGAAAGGACAGCAGACCTTCTCAAGAATGAGTGAAAAAGATCAGATTGGATTAGGAGATTTGGAACATCTTAAAAAATAGGGGCATGCCGCTTTTCTTGGCAAAAGCCCCAAATCTTTACTGTAATCCAGCTTAAAATACAATGGTTTTTATCTCTCAGAGGCTGTGGCAATGAATAACAACATGCTTTTGCCTTCCACATCCCATCAGTGATGTAGAAGCCACAAATCCAATTATAGGAAGGTCTATATGTCCAACCAAATAACTAGTGGTGAGATCTAAGCAGGGACATGAATGGAAGATTTTTCAAAATTTGTCTGCTTTTAAACAGATCTCTCCATCTGTCCCTGCCAGATATACGTCCTAAATTATCTATGCCCTGTGGTGTGGATGCCAACAATTTCCCAGAAAGAAGCTTAAGCTATGTCCTTTAAAATATGATTTCTATCCAAAGTGGGAGATTGACTGCAGAGTCCTTTAGGAAAAATACAACCATAGTGCACATTACAGTGCACATCCCAGATAAACTGGTATACTCAAACAGAGGTTAAATCCTTTGGATCTCAGAGACCTGACCTTGGGGAGAGTCTGAAGAAGGTTTAAGACCCTTCCCTATGCCCCAAAAGTGCCTGAAAGAACAAATATCCTTCTTTATCCTTCGTTACAATGTTCTCTACTCTCACCTGTGTGCTGGCTCTCTCAGTCCTCGAGTGGCTGAGGACACATTTTCATACCTGTACCAGCACCATGCCAGCTCCCTAGAGCCATTCCCTAATAGTTACAGCCCATCAGGTTTCAGGCAGGAATCCTTCTGTACTCCCATAACTGGCTTCAAATGTGGCTGTCCTGGCTCCCCTTACAGGGCAGAGGCATTAGAGACATGAGAACACAATTTCCTAAGGACCTGCTCTCAGTCTGACTTTTCACCTGGTGCAAATACCCACTGAGGCTGCTGAGAAACCAAACACCATCCCTCGGGTGTCCCAGTTAATTGGTCCCTCCTTCTTGGCATCTTGGCCACTTCCTGGTTTAATTGCAAGTTGGTCTAAAATTCAGCACTACCTGTCCTTGCTTAGTGAATGTATTTACTGGGTCTTAAGAGGGGTGACAAAGATGATCTTTCAAAGTCTTGGCTCCTTGTTCCCTGCCTGTCGCTTCTGTCCTTTCCAGAGAACGCTGTGGGTCCGTGCCTTGTACGACTTCGATGCGATGGAGCACGATGAGCTGGGCTTCCGCAGTGGGGACATCTTAGAGGTCCTGGACAGCTCCAACCCATCCTGGTGGAAAGGACGCCTGCGTGGGGAACTGGGTCTCTTCCCTGCCAACTATGTCACACCGGTGCTGCTGTGAGGGCACAGTATGGCCCAGAGGTCTCTGCTGGAGCTGCTCTTCTGACATGACAGGGACAGAGAAGGAGTTCATCTTCCCTTGCCACCAGGACACACATTGTTTTTTGTTTTGTCTTAATTTATTGGCAATTGATCTATTGAAATGTTGGTATGAAAGAGAACCCTTTGAAAAAGAATTTTTTACCCCTTTTTTTCACAGTCATGAAAGGGAGGGAGCAAAAATCTTGGACTGTTCATTGAGACTTTGCTGGGTCCCCCCTGCCTTGTCACCTCTTTGGCTAACTATTGATAAGCTCCTGCAATTAGGTTTATTTTGTGGAAATGCCCCTCAGAAAAGTCAGGCTTCAGGTTAACCTCAGGATCAGTATTCAGGTAGCCCTATCCCTTAATTTTGGATCTGGTAGCAGTCATAGTCTCTTCAGGCTCCAGTCTACATTTCTGTCAGAGGCAGGAGGGATGCCCACATGAATTAAATTATCCTTGGCAACCACATTAATCCTTCAGTTAGGGCTTTAGGTTGAGGTCGAGACAATCTAGGTTTTTCTTAATAGTTTCTGGCTTTCTTCTAGTTTAATTATTTTCTTAATAGTTTCTGGCTTACCCATCTCACACTGTGTGTATGGACTGTATGGATATACCAGATGAAGGGGAGGAGCTCTGTAAGCTTTTGTACAAACATGCAAGTGGTGAAGGTAGGGGAGGGCAAGAAGCTTTCTTTGCTTCTTCTCATGGGCCTGCTCTTCTTTCTGTACTCCCTAGCCACTTACCCATTTTCAAGTTGCTCTCTTAGGTGCCTACACTTCAGCCTGATTAGAGCAGATCAGGCCCTTCAGCTAAATCAGTATCCACTGGATTGGATAACAATATCCCTCATGGGTTCCTTTTGTAAAACTGAACTGGGGAGGGATTGGAGAGGTTTCTCTGGTTTGGTTGCAGAAGTTCTTTCCCTGAGAACTTGCTGTGTTGATGATCACCATGTTGCTAGAGAAATGTCTCATTCAACAGGTTAAGCTGTTATTTTACAGTATGTAGAGAATAAAGCTGTAGCCATCTAATAGTCTATTCTCTATTCCAGTTTCTTTTAGATAAAATAAGGTAAATTAATAGGTTTTCAAATAACTGCTGAGTGAATGCCCAGATGTGATAGAAATTTATTCTAAATGTACATTACCTGTCCCCTTCACAAAGCCTGTGAAGGAGACTCGACTGCATAACCACTGCTCAGGCATGTTGATATTAAACAAGCTGCCTGAATTTTTCACAACATGTGGGACCTCAGCAGTCAGCAAGGAGAAGTGATGATTAGTCATTATTGAAAAAAAAAAAAAGAATAGGCAAGTGAAAACCTCTAAACACAAATCAGTCTCAGGAAAAAAAAAAAAGTTCTTATCTTTTGTTAGTCCCAGTGGAAGAAAAAGAACCCAGGAAATAGGTTCTTGGGGAAGTCCAATTCAATGTAGCTGGCCTGAATAAAACTGCCAGCTAGACAGAGCATTAGCACAAAGAATTCATTTTGAAAGAACTCCTCCAAAAGCAGATTGTTAATGGGTGAAGTAAAATGAGAGTATTTAACAAGGCATATAAGCTCTATAGAGAATAGAAAACTTTGAAAGACACATTAAGAACTTATTGGCTACCATGGTGATCCAGGGAATACGACTGCCTGGGTCTGTTCTCTTGCAGGAGCTCTGTTCTGGCCCTTTAGGGTCTTCTTCTGAAGAGGAGTCCACGAGGCTTCTTTAGGAACAAGATCCCTTTCCTCTTGTATGAGGGTGTAACCTCAGTGTCTCCAGTTTGAAGAGTGGTTTGGTGTGATTTGCCCTTTTTTAACCTTTTTGTGTGTTGGTTGGTTTTCTGCTAAGGTAGTAACAAATTTGGAAGATAGAGGGTTAATAGTGAGAGGGAGAGCATTAGGGCCAAAAAGAGATGGAACCAAGAAACCAGAGACTAACAAAGGCAAAGGAGGGATTAAAATGATGAATCTTTCATATTCAGCTCTGGCTGAAACAAAAGAAATGGTGTATTCAGAATTATTCCCATCATGTCAAATCATCTTTCAATTAATTCCCTTTTTTTCTGTATTAGTTACTTTTAAAATTAGAAGCAATGTCTCCTTTTCCTTTCCTCAGCACTCTAAAGACCCTCTTGGTAGTGAAGATGTAGTTGCACAAAATTAATTGAAGATAATGCACTTAGCAGTTTGATAGCTCTTCACACATTTGAAACCCCTTTACAGAGATTAACTAATTAAGCAAGTCTAAGTAGTGCATTGTAAGTACCCCTGTGTTAACTCATGACTCATTTGAGGAAAAGGTAAATTTTCACGTGATTTTTTGAATTGATGTTTAAGGAACTAATACCTAAGGTAATTAGTATTACAGGACTGCACACTAATTATGGACAACATACCAAAACCACAGTAAAATCAGGATTTCTCATTATGAGCAGCACCTAATGACAGCAAAATTACCAGGAGGTGATAGCCTCACGGCATCTGTGATAACTCCACCAGTGCCTTGCTCTGCTGCCCTGTGCAGGGGCCAAGCTCAGGGCTGCCTTGCCCAGTCTCTTGCCTCTGCTACTGGCCTGGCACTGCTGCCTGCAGTTACTGCCACATGGCAGGAGCAGGGAGGAACAGGTGTCACCCTGCATTTTTGTACCCTCCCACAGTAAAAGTCATTTTTCTTACAGCAAAAGAGCCGTGCTAAGGATTGTGGCTATTCCCAAGTCAGTGGAGACTCTGGACACAAGGAGAGGTGTGGACAAAGTGGGAAATTTTGGGGGGATAGAAGGGGCTGTAGGATGGAGACATTTTTGGTGCCTCATGCCATTTTCTGCCCATGAAATCTTCTCTCTCACAGATCAGGCCACTTAATAAGGAGGGAGAGAGACACTCCTCTAACCACATACCTTGCCAACCTTCCTGCTCTTTCTTCCAAGAGGTTTTAATTGTAGCACAATCCTTATTAATATTGTGGTGATTCACTTACACCTCAGAGTCTATTGCCATGCAAGAGGCACATATTAGCAACCTAGGACTGGAGCCTTAAGGTGACAGTGCTGCACTGACCTCACTTGACATTTGCCAACATTTTGGAAAGAACCAAACCTCTGGAACATATCCCAAGAGAGTTCACTGTGAAGCCAAAATGGGAAGGCATAAAGAGGAAAAGCAGAGGAATTTTTTTTTTTAATTATTTTTCTTAAGCAAGAAAGACAGTTCATGAGAAAAGAGAATGTAAACTGAGATAACAGTAGGAAAAGTATGTGGGAAGGCAGACACAACATATGAAACAGAGGAAGCTGGACTTGTACATGGTAAAAAGTCTGATGAGCACAGCTGAGCTGTGCTTTCTCCTGTCTAAATGAACTTTTTGCCTATGTTCTACTGCAAATCCATATTTTGCTTGGAAATGTCTCTGTGATTAATAAGGCTGAGCTAAAAAGAGTAAATGGAAATTTCCTTTCATGTGAAAGATGTGCAGGCAGTTTTCTGTGCCACAAAAGAGAGGTCTCTGCACTGGTGTACATGCTTGCTGTAACAGCTGTGCTCACTGGAGCATGCCACAGAAACCATGGGATCACGGCTGGTTCCTGTCAGGCTGCTCACAGGTAGGAGCACCAGGGAGATGATCCTCAGGGCTGCCACCAAGTCAGCACCTGCTCAGGCTGCTATGCCAGCCGCTTGTGCCAGGAAAACAAGTTCATGGGTGGTTGTTGTTTTTTAAATTGAAGTTTCAGTGGGCTGTGCAGGAAATCTGAAGCTTTCCACAACAGCCACATGTTGATGATTTTTTCTATTCAGCGGCATCTCTCATCCTTCCTCCCCAACAGGATCCCAATGCTGCAGTCCCTTGAAAGGCCCCTCTGCCTTCAGGCCTTGTGGAGAGTAACCAAGGATGTCAGAAGCAAAAGATCCAGCAGGCAGGACTACATGGCTTGAGCAGCCTTGAACAGCAAAGTGCCATCAGCTGGGAGATTTTGCACTGCAGGAGCAATGCCACAGCAGGTGTAGTCCAGCAGTGAGGTGAAGGGTGACCTCTGCCCCAGCTGGGAAGCAGCAAGTCTTTAGTAATGTCCATGTCACATCTTAGAGACAAACAAGGATGTCTGGTGGGACAGAACTGCAGCCATCTGGATTAGGGCTCTGCTCAGACTCCTCTTCTGCTTCTGCAGCTCTTTGAGGAGGAGCCTGGGTTATATCACACTAGGTGTGAGAAGTGTTTGGCAATGCTGCCCATCCCTGCCCAGTGCAGCCCCAGAAGTCTTCATGCACCTCCTTTCAGCTGTGGCCCATCACCGTGCTGCCCCTCCTGGGCCCACAGCTCAGCTTGTGCCTCTGTGGTGAGAGAAAGTGCTCTACAGACATCTCATTTCAAATATTTGTTCAAAGCAATTGGCTCAGGTGCTTTTAGATGAAACCCCATGGAGGTCAGTCAAAACCATTAGTGTTCCCTAGGTGATCCAGGCAGTTACATTTACTGGCTAAAACACAGGCTGAACTAAAGAGCTTCTGACACACAGCCTGTCCTTGCTGCTGAAAAGTTTGCATTTCAGTGGGGAACCATGAACTGAGTGCATGATAAAGCCTTTAACAGCCTTGAAGAAGAGGGCAGAGCATTGCCAATTTCTCCAATTTTTTAGAGGCAACTTTCATGTGACAGAACTAATGAGCCTTAATTCGCATCAAACAAAAAAGAAGTTTCTTACATAGGCAGAACTGCCAGCAGAAAACAGCCAATGACTTATCTGTGAGCTACAGGGTAGCAGGGAAAACAGGCAAGTGAATGAGGAAAGGTTGCTGACCATTGTGTGCAGAGAAAATTCAAAGCACATTGTCTGCTGCCACTGTGCAAGTGAGAGGTGCTTGGCCCATGTCCAGCCTGCCAACATGAAAATGCAAAATTTCACAAATGGCAGGCGTGCAGGAATCCTTGTAGACCTGCAGAAATAAAATTAGTCCAGGCAACAAAGAGAGGAAGAAGAAACAAACAAATTAAAAGATCCCTAGGACTCTTGAGGCCTCTCCCTAGTTCCAAGTAGGCTCATTTCCACCAGGATTTGTGAAAGGTATAGCCATGGTGAGTTTGTTTGTCACAAACAAAAACGAGAGTAAAAATGGGGGTGGGGAAAAGCAGTTTAGCATGTGCATCTATTACTGTGCACTTAAAGCTATAAAATGGTGACAGTGTCCTGATAATGACTGAAGT